AATTTTTTTATTATGTATTGCTGTCTTTAATACCATTGAATTATTTATTAATCTTTTAAGTTGACTGCAAAAAAATTTCCAACTGAAAACTAGTAAGTCCTATTTTATATTTAAGCCTCTAGAAAGATTAGATATGGAAAAATAAGTTCAATACATCTTATTTATTTCTACACATTCACTTGTTTGTACTTATATATTTTGAAAAAGATGAAATTCTTTTCAATGTTGTGGCGATACTCACTTTTGAGGGACGAAATACAATTAGTTGCATAACTTTTTAGGAAGTGATGTTCAGTATTGGGATTTATTTTATTTATTTATTTTTTTCTACTACTACTATTATTATTATTATTACTACTACTACTACTACTACTACTACTACTACTACTACTACTACTACTACTACTACTCTTACTACTGCTACTACTCTTACTACTGCTACTACTCTTACTACTACTACTATTACTACTACTACTACTACTACTGCTACTACTACTACTACTACTTTTACTACTACCACTACTTTTACTACTACCACTACTAATACTACTTTTACTATTTTTACTACTACTACTACTACTTCTAATACTATTTCTACTACTACCACTACTACTGCTATTACTGTTTTTGATGCTGCTGCTCTTACTGCTACAACAGAACACTTTTTCTGAAAAAATAATAAGTGGAAATATTAACTTCCCTTATGTCATTACTAATTCAATTCAACTTTATGCATGTCTTTCCACAGATGATTTTTAGATATAGCTGTATGCATGACCTTTTTATCTCTTTTATCTTTTTTCTTTTTTACTTTAGCAACAGCTAATTGATTTCTTTCTTGTGGTTTATGTAAATGCCCAAGAATAGCATAGTTTACGCAATTTTGGTTTTCATCCAGCGGTGCTTGGTTGCACGGTAGAGTGTGTGGCTCATGTGACAAACACCGGATGGCCAGGAGAGGAAATTGCATGTCAGCTTGCAAGAGGCTTGATCAGGTTTGTGTTTAAGTTTGTTTGTAATTTTTTTTTTTTTTTTTTTTTTTTTTTTTTTTTTTTTTCTTCTTTTTCTTTTTCTTTCTTTTTCTTTAAAGTATATTTGTACTTCTTTGAGTCATCTGGTCTGTTATTTTTTTGTTTTTTTATTTTTGTTTTTTTCTTATATGTATAAATATTTCTCACTTGAATATATTTTTATTTGAATATGCATTTTCATTTACTTGTGCTAAATTTTGTTACCTTATACATTTATACTTTTATTAAGACCATTTAGTGTCCCTCTTTAATCTTTCATTTCTCTTCAGTAACTTTCCTTTACAATTACTTTACAGCACCTCTCCAGTTGCCACCATCTCAAAACAATTTATTTTCTTTCCATCCACAAGGTTGATAAGTACATTCCATGTTGGCCGAGGTAGAGCCCACAATTCCTACATGGGGAGGATGGTGACCCTGTCTTCATCCCTTGCTCTTATCCATCTGCTGTCACATCCATCGGGGAGTCTCACTCAGGTAGTGGTCTCTGTCAAGGCATGTAGTAATGTATGACTGTAAAGCATATTACAGAATCTTGCTTTCGTCTACTCTTATAAAGAGTTAGATAATACAGTAAGTCCCCAACTTAAGAACATAATGGGGACCGAGAGGCTGTTTGTAAGTTGATTTGTTTGTATGTTGAAAGTCGGGTCTCCATTACCTTTTTTCCCATTGTTTTAAAGTTTTGTTTACATTAAGAATACCTGTAAATAAATCCTAACAAGTACAACATACCTTATACAGTACCAGACTCATGAACTATATTCGTGCCTGGGAAATTTGAAGTTTGCTAGCATCTTTCAAACAATTTTTTTGACTTTAGTACTTAAAAAATTTTGTTTGTATGTATGGAATGTTCATAAGTAGAATGTTCTTAAGTAGTGGACTATCTGTACATGAAGTATCTATTTTTGGTCAACCTTATGGTCAAGTTAGTAAGAAGCACATTAACCTTTCTTTTTTTTCTCACCGTGTAAAAATAAACAATTTTTTACGAATTCCAACCTCAGGATATTGGGTCTTGGAGTGTTGAAGAGCAAGGTGACTGGTCGTGGCTGGTGTCGCTGTGGGTTTACCGAGATCCAGTCGTGACAAGTACTGGACTCACAGTAGCAACGGCATTAACAACTCAGCCTCAGGGGACCCAGCTCCTGCATGAGAGTCTTATCCAAGTGTCTGGAGGAGTGTGGGGAGCAGCCCTTAGGTTGGTTTTGCTTGTCTTTGTTATGGTTATGGTGTTGGCTTTTAGGATTTTTTTTTTACTTTGAATAGTTTGTTATGGTGTTGATTTGTGGTCTAACTGCTAACTGGTCTTGAGTTTGATTCATAATTGTTTTAATAATCTCATGAAAGGAAAGTGTTAGAAGTCCTCTTGAGCAAGAAATTACATGATTTTAGCTTATATACTGGTTAGTGGGGCTTGGATGACCTTACATTGTCATTAGCAGGTAATGCTCTTGGATCCTGGCTATTTTATATTTTTGTCTTTTTGTTTTGGTTTGACGAATTTAAAAAGTCACAATCTTATTCCATTTATATTGTGGCAGTGTTTCTTTTTGTGCATTATGTTCAGAATAATGGCATGTAGTCCTGACATTTATGAAAATGATGATAAATATGGTTGGGTATTCATGCTATACATAGTTTATATACATTGTTTAAAAGACTCAAAGTAACCTCATTCATCCATACTAGCTATCTGCTGGCTTCTGGTCGGAGTTGCCTTGTCCGAACACTGGCTGCGCAGCTCCTCATAAATTTGACGGAGGAGGAGCCTACTGCCAATAGCCCATGGAGGTTTCCAGTTGTTTCAGACACCCTGACTGGGGTAAGTAGTTGAGGATTGATTGTGCCGAATGTATATGTAAGGTTAGAGAAGTGAAACCATCCCATTTATTTACTTATTTTTATATGAATATATGCATCATGTTGTACATTTGTTGATTTGTGTGTGTGTCTGTGTAGGTGTAGGTGTAGGTGTATGTGTATAAGATGTATAAATATATTTTGTATGGGGAAAATTTTTATACCCATTCATATGTCAGGTTGACTATATTTGATAAATATGGTATTTTTGATACATATATTATTTTATTGTATTACAATAGAAAGAAGCAGTTAGCTATTTAAATTTGAAAGAACAGTTTTTTTATGAAAGCTTCACACTTGTGGAAATATAATGATATTCATTAAGTTCCAGGTCCTGAAAACAAAATTTAGGAAGCAATTCTTGTATTAAATTAATCATATTTTCTCCAGGGTTCTGTGGAGGGGGTACCAGCATTGATGGTACTGTTAAAGCACTGCAATTTCTTCAGTGTGATGTACCTATCTATGGCAAAACTATGGATTTACCAAGAACAACCTGTAGGAAACACTCATGATACCCCAAATGCTGCCTGGGACCTTTCTCTCAGCAGACTCAGCTCCTTTTGTGCACCAGGTAAAGATCATTTTACTTTATAGATGAATTATACATAGTGGGCTTCCTTTACTTTTCTTTTGTATGAGGTAGCCTCGTACATCAATGTTCTGGGAAGGTAATGTCTTTATATAGGATTGATTATACATTCAGGTTGATTGGCTAGACGAGGGAATAGAGATCAAGGAAAATATGAGATGAATGATCACTGAAGGCAGTACATTTATTAACCGCTATGATCTATATGACATGACAATCACATGAAAAAATTTGGCTTGAGGGGCTGGGAGCATGAACATGTCATTATGGGAAAATTTGGCCATGGGTCTGGGTGACTTGAACTTGCCATCGTGAACATTTTGTCTGAAGGCCAGGGTATCACGAGTGCACAAAGCTTTTGGAGGATGATTAGATTCATTTGGTGTTTAGAAAGGGACTTTTGCATTATTTGCATTGTTTCTGTTATTATGAAAAAATGAAAAAAAAATACACAAGTAATAAAATGTTACTTATTATCATTATGTTATGGACTTATGGAAAACTATTATTATTATCATCTGGATAAAACAAATGAAATGACAAATATAGACATTAGAAAATGGCATAAAAGCTAAAAAATGCTTGTACAGAAAAAGAGAAAATAACATTGTAAAGGGAGGCATAGAGGCTTGTCACTGCACACAAGTGTTTATGAGTGACCAGCCTACAAGCCACACACCTGTCAGAGTGGCCACTCAAGCAAGTCTAATGCCTGTATTTTGGGCCCCATGATGGCATTGAAGCTTCCAAATTGAATTCAGTAACATGAAGTTGGAGTAATTTTTGTGCTGTTGTTATTGTATTTAGTTGCCTTGGCTTTAGATAAACTCTATACTGAATATATGTTATTTTCAGCTCCATCCATAAAATCACTTTGCTAAAACAGAAATGTGTTTAACTGCCTATGATTTTTAATCCAATTTTGAAAAATCTGAATTTGCAGTTAATACAGATGACCTTGGAGGCAGCCAGAGTGAGGTTGGATCCGAAGACTACAATCACAACACGCCTTCCCTAGTGTCTTTGCAGCTTTATGAGACCCTTCTGAGACTCCTCAACAACATCTTGCTCCTTAAGCCTTCACAAGTTATTCTGGAGCTTACGTCACATGGAATTATATCCCTGGTGGTCAAGTAAGTAGTGTGGGATAAGGCCCAGAAGTGTGCTTCATTAAGTTCAGCATAAAAGCAAAGGCTGCAGGTAGCCATTTTGAGTTTTTTGAGAAATTCATAGCAGTTCATCTGTTTGTCTTAAATGGGTAACTACTCAGTTTGCTGATACTTAGATAAGTGTACAAGATTGATATATATCTATTTTGTATAGTTATCATTTAAGATTTTAGAAATTCTTATACCAACTTGACTGATTGCCTTTCTTGTACAAGTGTGCATTTTCAAGGCATACTTTAATTCATGTAGTTATAATAGAATGAATTTTACCACTTGAAATATGTATACTATAAGTGATAAAAATATGTTTGACTGATACAATTTACTCCTTTTTCAGACAGCTCCGTTATGTGGTGAGCCTCATCCAAACCTCAGAGCTTCACCTAAAAGTAGTTGAGACAGCCATGGTATTTTTGTGCACGGTACTGAAGTACGACCCAACACAGGTGCTGCCTCTTGCTAGAGATACAAGTCTAGGACATCTCACACTTGTGGTATTGTCCTCAGGTAAATTACATGTTGTCATGTGCATTTATGTAATATTTGTTTATTCATTTTTGTTGCCAGATACAGAATGTTGGAATGTTTAGTACATGATATTATTTTTTCCTTGGTCTTGATTTTGATTTTAGGTTTTCCTGTTTTGTTTACTTTCTTTTATAGATAAGTGTAGATAACCTTATATTATGTAAAATATATGTTAGGGTGTATATACACAACTAGTTCAGTTGATATTATATATACTTAGAGTATTCCTCTAAAATGCAGCATAAAATGTCTGATAAAGACCAAACAAGAGCCCATGTAGTGCAGTTCAGATGTTGCAAATAGAGTGCAGAAAGTAGTTGAAAAGATATAAGAAATTACTGTAATGTCAACTGATAGATCAAAAGAGTGTAGAGCATTCCCCAGTCAGGTTATATTAAAATGAAAAGCTTGGAATGATTACTTTTCAACACAACATCAGTTTTCACACTAGCACTTCTTTACATTAAAACAGAATAAAACAAAATAAAAATATGATACATGCAACTTTCAAAGTGCAGTAAAGTCCATCGAGAATACAGATTCATTTGGAGAAATACATCACACTCAAGGAAATAAATGCATATAGAAAAGCCAAATCATCAGCTGCATTACCACCAGCTTAACTTTTTTAACTCTAACAAGACCATGTAATAAAAGTTAATAAAGAACATCTACTGTATACAGTAAAGCTTGTGTATATGGAGTCAGAACATCATTATCTTGGTAATGATGAGGAGTATGAAAGTAATTTTCTCATATCAACATCATCCTCATTATGCTTTTATGCTATAGTAGCAGTCCATTATGATTTTCCATATATTGCTCTTAAATAAAGCATATTGCACAGTAGTTGTTGTTATAGCCAAAAATATCCTGTTTGTTATTTAATTATTTTGGTAAAACAATTTCACATTTTATCTGTCTATATAGTATATTCTCAATTATATCCACTTACTCAGGTCTGGAAAGCGCCCCCATCAACATGGTCTGCCTAGAGGTGATGACATCCCTTGTATGGGCAGGAGACTGGGGTGCGGCACACATTCTTGAGTGGATTTCGGTCTCTCCTGTCCACACTCTACAGCCAGTAGTAGCCTCCCTCCATAGTACAGCCCCTCTTGGACTCCAGGCTGCTGCTGCTTCATTTGTGTCCAGTCTCCTTGCAAGTGTTTATTCAAATGATGTTACAACTCATCATGATCAGGAAGCTACCCTTGCAAACATCTTAGATGTGCCTGTCAGGCTATTGAATGATCAGGTAATCATGCTATTATTGGTTTAGTACAGTAAAGAAGGTAATTTATGTAATTCTTGTAAAAAGCACTATTACTTTTGAATGTGTGAAATAGCATGCTAAGCATATTAATTTAAGATGTCCTCTAGCTTCAATTCATTTATTAAACTTATTTTTGGATTCAAGGATGTTTCTCCTGGTTGGGAGCTCTGTAGACATCTGATCCAGCTTGTGTGCGATGAACATGAAATCAAGGACACAGCAAGCAGCACTACAGCAAGGGTAATTTATGCAAGACTATTGTATATAGCTTTTACTTGGAATAAATTATGATTTCTTTTAATTTTAATGGAATTAATTTACATTAATATCATGGTGCATTTCCACAGCTAAAAGGGAGTCACAATCAAGAACATCAGCACCTCCTCCTCGAGTGTCTGAAGCTTCTACTCCTGGCCTCAGAAGGTGCCAAAGAAGCAGCACATCATCTGCGTCTCTCATTCATTCCATTTCTGATGAGGCCTTTGTTGCAGCTTACAAACAAGATCCAAAACATCAACATTCACATCACTACTCAGCTTATGAATAAAAAGGTAAATTATTAGCCCCAGTACTCTCATGATTTGAATCTTTCTTTGCAGTCTGGCATTTCGTTACATTAAAATTACATAATCTGGTTTGCAGGAGATCAAGGAAGATGCCTTTATAGCAATTCAACATCTAGAAGTGGCCAACAACTGGGTAAGAGGCAGGGGACGCTGGATGGAAACTGTAGGAGAGGTCTTGATCCCTCTCCTTCACCAGCTGTGGACTCCAGCCCTCCGCACTCCTCCCCTCCTCACAGCCATGTTGACATTCATGGTGACAGCTTCTGCACACCATCAGGGTAATTAATGACACTGTTCTTACCCATATTTAATTCTAGTTTCAAAAGTTTTATAATAGTATACATGACTATGTAGTCTGATTCATTCATATTATAAAGAGAGATGGCATTTTGTTAAGTATCCCTTCTTGTTTTTAATTTTCTTTTACTTTCAGCCTGCTTGTTCCTGACACGCACAAGTGGACTGCCAGGTGTAGCACTGAGTGCCACACGCACAAGTAGACCTCTATTAGCATGTGTTACTTCATTAGTTTGCCAGCAGTTAGCAAGACTCCCTAACTATACCAGGGTATCACATATAGGTTTCAAAGACCTACCCAAAGAGAGGTTTATTCAGTCTATCTCATTATTAACTAATTGTGCAAGGTTGCAAGAATGTACTCTAATTATGAACAAGGTAATTATCACAATGCAGTTTAGTTTTTTACTTTTTGTCTAACATTGCAACAAAATAAATTTTTTATGACTTTAGCTAATTCTTTGGAGAGAAAGTTGTAAACTGTCAGGAGTCATTAAGATTACCATCAAATTTAAAACTTCCATATTAAGCTCACACCACATGCTGTCTTCTTTATCATAATGTTAGATAAACATGATGTCTTTATTATTCCTGCAGTGTGACCTAGTAAATGCCCTTATGAAATGGCTAGACAGTAAACAGGCATTGGAGGATGGCATGACAGTCACAGGCAGCATTGTCAAGTTTATGGTGGTTCTCACCTCACACCAGGAGGTGCAGATGTCTGTCTGCAAGGTAAGTATTCATTATTTTTATAATTTAGTTTGGTAAACTTCCTTGATTTTTTTCACAACTTTTACTAATACAAACATGTACATCCTTTTTCATTTGTACCTTCTAAAGATTTTAAAGAAAGATTTCTACTGCAGGCTGGAGTGCTCAGGGATTTAGAATTTACATCTATTTGCACCTCTCTATTATCCCACTAATCCACATTTCTTATGTTCACTGTTTTATTGAAGCTTATCAACAAATAGAGAAGACTTTGTTCTTCAGTAGTCATTATAATTTGTTATTGTTTTTTTATATTAAACAAACTGTTGAAAAAGTATGAAGAGCATAAACTTAGATATTGATTATTGCCACCTTGAGCAGTGAACAGTGAATTGCAAAGGCAAATCTGGATTACTCAGATGACCAATAAATGACCCTAATACATTATGGAACACTTCTTTTACATTTCCCACCTGTCAGATGATGGGAGGAAGTACATATTTTCCAGGGATTGTTTCAATTGTAATCTGTATGATCATGAATCTCTGTGTTTCCAGACCTATGGATGGGTAGGCACCCTTCGTGACCTCATTCTCCAACCCAGCCTGAGAATTGAAGCTCTTTTGGTTGCTGCAAACTTGTCAAGAAATCACCTGTGTGCTCAAGCTCTGCTGTCGTCAGGTAAAGTTACCAGATCAGTGGAGTAGAACGTTTTATATATATTGTTGTATATTTTTGTTGTTACTATTTTTTTTTTTTCTTTCTTTCTTTTCTTTTCTTTTCTTTTCTTTTCTTTTCTTTTCTTTACTTTACTTTACTCTTTTCTTTACTTTTCTTTTCTTTTCTTTTCTTTTCTTTTCTTTTCTTTCCATTTCATTTAAGGTTATCCAAGGTTATTCAAGACATTTTGTCATAAGATACTGCTGGTATGTTCTAATAGATACTTTCTTTAAGAAGTTTGCTAGCCACTTCTCAAAAAAAGTTTACTAGTCACTAGGTATAGATTCCAAAAAGTTTGGGGTTTAATCCTGACTTAAGAGAACAGTATACTAAGTTGTGAGTTTAGTATAGTTTGGTGTAGTGTAGTGTAGTGTGGTATTTGTATGTACTGATGTTTATCCTTTTATATTTCTTTTCATAATATTTCTGATTTTGTTAAAATTTCATCCATAACATTTGCTGTGTACTTATTAGGGCTTTTCAACTCCATCAAGCTCTTAGAAAATAATTGGATAACAGAAGCTTATGTGACTATGTTGTTAATGCAGGTGGATGATTTATTGTCCTATTATTCATGCAATTATGTTCAAGTTCAATATTTGCTAAAAAAAAATAATGGATACCCAGCTATTTTTGAATGGTTTACTGTTAGTCATTGATTTACTTAATCTTTGATATCACTGTTAAGGCAAAAGATATCTAAACAAGTAATGTGACAGTGGGAGCATTTTAAAGTTCAGTAATTGTGAAAAACTAATAGTACTGATTAATTAATTCTCTGATATTTCAGAGGATCTGCTAAAGACCTTCATTGATATCATGGCAAGATTGGAAGAAGAAAAAGAATCATTCCCAGTGTTGTTCATTCTGTGGGGTCTCGTTGCAAACAACCAGAGAGGTCAAGCTATCCTAAAGCAGTATCCAGTCCTTCCTCTGCTAAGACACTTACGAGAAACACAGAAAGAGCATGCTAGTCTCTGTCAGAAAATACTTAATATATTGGATAGATAGCATTATATATTTGTAATATATTTCATATATTTTATTATAACTTCATTGTAAATTATGTATATTGTTATTTTTATTTTTCATAAAGAGTGTATAAACCCATGATTTTATGCTTACTTTTATGATTTTGTAAATTTTATGAATATATGAACATAAAATGTACAGTTCAGGGATGTGATGATCACAGTTAAAAAGAAAACTATTTCTGTAAATGGATGCAAATATATATA